CCGGGGACGAGCTGAGACTGCGGAGAAGGGGTGGAATGAGGCTCAGCAAAATCTGGCGAGCTGGGCCTACTTAGAGAAGAAATTAAAAGAATTCCTCGAATTCGAAGGCTTGACTCGCGACCTAGCGGACAGGGGCTACTACTATGCCCTCAACAAGCTCGACACCGCTTGCCCGAAGGAGACCGTTGCCGCCGTAGAGCTGGAGTATGAGTCTATCTGGGCCGACCGCCCCACTGGCGTCGATAAGGAAGCTGAGGCTACTAAGGTCGCTGCGGTCGCTGATGCTGACGTTGGAACCAGCACTCCTACCAACCTTCCGCAAGAATAGCTTGTCCCCTTCTTCTGTTGCTTCTTCTGCTTTATTATTTTTAATCAACTCTCTGTACTGAGCCGAGGCATATATACCTCGGCTCTCCATCAAGTTTTTTAATGAAACCCAGTTTTATCCAGACCTGAGTTACTCTTTCCGAAGTCCCCATACTTGGAGTAATTAATGATTGCTTTCCTACATAATGACTTACGAGCCGAACAATTTAGCTCGGCGGTGTGTTCAACAGATTTTTTTTTTATAGCCAGGTTCCTACGAGCCGACCATTATTTCGCATGTTTGTAAAAACACCACTTAGTGTAGGTCTTTTAGCATAGGTCATACCACAGTCAACGCTAACGAATAAAGTCAAATTTTGCACAAGTCATTGGAGATCGGCTTTGATTAATGGAATAAATTTTACACGTCGGACTACATGTGTTTCATTGATAGTAAACTCGTAGATGTTCGGCGTTCGATGGGTGAGGGAGTTCTCTCTCGTTGAGGTCGGACGGCAGCAGACTCCAGGTCGGGGTATCTTCAAGACCCTGTAGGGACCTTCCCAGTTTGGTTGGAGTGCTCCGACATGCTGCATTACCTTCTTGAGGACGAGGTCGCCAGGCCTGAACGTTTTGACTTTTACTCTCTGATATTCTGCTAGTCTGAGCTGGGAGTGAGATCGTTTCTCCTCGAGTAGGTCAAGATTCACGAGGAGAGCTTCGTTATTGGTTGGTTCGTCTAAATTTTCAACTTGGGGCGTCGACATGCCAATCTCCACAGGAATGACAGCCTCCGACCCGAAAGCTAAGCCATTCGGTGTCTCGCCAGTAGATCGGCGGGGTGTAGTTCGGTAGGACCACAACACCTCCAGTAGCTCTTCTGCCCACCGACCTTTCAGAGATTCCAACCTCGTCTTCAGACCACACTTGATGATCTTGTTGACAGCTTCGACCTACTCGTTGGACTACGGATGGGCCGGAGATGAGCTGAAGTGGCGTATGCCGAGCTGTTGACAGAACTTATTAAACCGGGCATTGTCGAACTGCTTTCCATTGTTGGTGATGATGGCGTTCGGTATACCGAACCGACATATTATGCTCTTCCACACAAACTGACGACCTTCCCTTCGGTAATAGACGCTAGAGGTTCCGCTTCAACCCACTTGGTGAAGTAATCTACAGCAATGGAAAACTTCAACTGCCCCTTCCCCGTCGGTACTGGGCCGATCAGATCTATCCCCCACTGAGCGAAAGGCCAAGGGCTTGAGATCGGTGTCAGCATCTCCAGGGGTCGTCTCAAAATGCTCGCGATGCGTTGGCACTTGTCGCATGTTTTGGCGAATTCCTTGGTGTCACGTTCAATCGTCGGCCAATAGTAGTCTTGGCGGACGACCTTCGCAGCCATGGACTGAGCTCCTCCATGGTTCCGCATACTCCTTCATGAATCTCGTGCATAACATACCTCGCCTCCTCTGGGTCGAGGCACCATAGTAATGGTAGGGAATATCCCCTCTTGAAAAGCTTGCCTTCTTGCACCAAGTAGTGAGCAGCTTGGCGTCAGAGCTTTCTGGCCTGGCTCGGATCAGCAGGGACTGAGCCACTCACCAGGAAGTTCGTAATCGGGTCCATCTATGTAGGCTGAGTGTTAAGAAACCCTTGAGAGTTGGATCTAAGAACCTTGCTAACGAACAAGACCCATAGAACTCAATCCCAAAAACCCCGAAAACAAGTATGGAATCAACCCAAGGAAAAGTTTTAGAACGGATTACCTTGATGATCAATATCAAGAGTAGAGAAAACTTGTTTCTAAACTCGTGATTCGAATCACTCCACAAGAGGTATGATCAACACCGCTTGAATGATCYTAACATGCAAATTCTAAAGACACAAGAAATTGCACAAGAAATGGGAGATAAATCTCTCAACCAAGCTAATGAGAAAACTCACTTTTCATTCAACTTCAAATTGTGTTACAACAAGACATCTCAAGGCTATGTATAGCCATCCTAGCAAGCCATATGAAAAGTCTTAAGCAAATGAAAAGACTTGTAACTTACAAGAAATGAAAAGACTTGTAAATGAAAAGACATAACTTAC